TACTGGGCTGGGCCTTGAGAATTGATTTTTCAAACAAATTCTCACCTTCTGCTAATGGTGCTGTTATGGAAGAATCATTACCTAAAAGTTAGCTCAAAATATTAAATTATTTTTTATGCTTATTTTCTGTAATATAATTTTAGTTTGTCTGTTTTTTTAAATTGGGAGGTACCAAATTAGGAGATGCAAATTAAATTCATAAATTTGAATTGCAAAGTAGTTTTGGTCTCTAACAAAGCAGAATTACAATGTTAAAACTGCTATAAAATAAAATTAACTCTGACCTTTCTTTTTCCTTACTAGAATATATGCTGCTGTAAAAGAAGACCAAGTTTAAAAAGATTAAAGCCACATATACCTCTTAGAAGAAATTACAGTTCCTTGCCAGGTACAATGTTAGCTGCTTCTCATTTTATCTCAACTGCCTGCTTGCTTACTTGCTGGCTTTCTCTGGTTTGTAAATATCTCCCTGAAACTGGAGTCTCCAGCTATTTTGAAAAGCTCCTTTTTACTTCTTGACCATTGTCTTGACATTGCTAGGGTTGGGAGTATTCTGAAGATGGGAGTATTCTGACAGATGCCAGGCGGAAATACCAGCAGAGCTGTGTTCCGCTGGACGTACTGATGAGCTAAGCAGAAGGAAAGCCAGCGGCTTTAGTAGCTGCCTTGGCAGCTGAACTTGTGAGTCTACTTGGAGAGTGTTCTTGTTGTAAATTATTTTCCAGTTTTAATCCAAAAGTGTTTATTGTCTAGAACCTTGTTGAAGGTTCTTCAAGGCATGTAATTTAGTAAATGTTTATCTGGGGTAGTGGAGGTTAGATACATGACTATAAAACACTGGAACGCTGAAGAGCTCACTACTCTGAATTCTGAATGTCCTTCTGTGTTTGAAATAAGCAAGCATCTGACAGATTTAATGTAACTAGTTGCTATTATTATTAATTTTATTGTGAAATAAGTGTAATGAAAAATTTACCATTTTAGCCTTTTTTTTTTAAAGTGTATAGATCAGTGACATTAATTATATTCACTAAGTTGTGCAACCATCACTGCTGCCCATTGCTAATAGATTTTGTGACCACAAACTGAAATTCAGTAACCCGTAAGCAATAACTCGCCATTCCTCCATCCCTAACCTACAAATCACCTTTTCTCTGTCTGCATTTGCCTATTCTAGGTACTTCAGATTAGTGGAATAGTGCAATAGTTGTCCATTTGTGTGTGACTTGTTTTGCTCAGCAAAATGTTTTCAGGATTCACTTTTGTTATAGAACCTATTTGAACTTTACTGATCTCTCTGTCCTGGTCTGGTGCTACTGGGTAAGCACTGAACCATAAAGCCAGTTTGAACTACAAGATATGGTGGTTCAAACCTACCAGCCTCTCCTCTGACACCCTATATAGTGTCATTGAGCATCACAGATGTCTCAGTGGCATTAACAACAATGGCTGAGTGACACTTCATTGTATGTATTTACCACATTTTGTTTGCCCTTGCATTTGTCAGTGGAGACGTGGATTACTTCCACCTTTAGGCTGCTGTGACTAGTGTTACAGTGAACACTGATGTACAAGTAAGTATCTGTCTGCATTCCTTCTGTCCAGCCTGTTGGGTATATGTTGTTGTGACTCTGTATAGGGCTTCCAAGGAGCAGCTGGTGAGCTTGAACTGCCGACCTTGCAGTTCAGATGGCTTTGCAGTCTGGCACATTAACTCACAGCACCACATCAGGACATCCATTGTGTATATGAGGGGGCCTTAAAAAGTTTGTGTAAAAATAGAATTAAAAGATAATGGAATTTTTCCACAAACTTTTTGAAGCCCCCCTCATGTATGTAAAGGAGTCCTGGTGTGGTTCTGTGGGTTAATGCACCAGACTGCAAAGCCATTTGAACTACAAGTGAACTGTAAGGTTGGCGGTTCAAGCTCACCAGCTGTTCCTCGGAAATCCTATATAGGATTGCTATGGTTCAGAATCGACTCAATGACACTTAATAACAACAACATATATCTAAAAATGCTGGGTCATAAGGTACTCGTTACCAACTTTGTAATATAAGAATAATTTATTATAAAATCTGATGGACTGTTTGCTTGCAAAGTGAGTTTAATGTGATGCATTATTGTAATACTATCTTTCAGTCCTCAAACTGCCATGAGGTTTTTAAAACGTAATAAAATAATGTGTTTTATTATAAAAATCTTGGAGAATTGGTTTACATAACAGGAAAGTGTAAATTAAGCTTGTAAATGTTACTGCCCTGTTTATTTAATATAATGTTTAATAAAAGTACTGTAAACATAAAGTTTAAGTCATTATAGACTTTTCTTACTCCAGAAATACTACTTATTCTCTTATAAGTGTAATAGATTATTATCGCTTCTGTTCAGCATTCCATCTAAGCTGTCTCTAAAAGTATTGCAACCCTGGGGTTGCTGGGGAGAGATAGCTTCCATTTATTACCAAAATAATCAGCTGAGAGAGAAGCACTCTTAGTTCCTCAAAGTCTTGGGAAATGACAGGTCTTTTTTCTCTATACTGTTTATTTTTCTTTGATTCAGGATCCACCACTGCCTTAATAAAAAATAATTAAATTATTTTTAAGTACGTCAATTCTAATTCTACAATTCTGTAAATGTTATTGTTCAGTGCTGTGGAGTCACTTCTGACTCATAACAGCCCTGCGTAGGGTTTCCAAGGAGCGGATGGTGGGTTTGGACAGCTTACCATGTGGTTCTCAGTCCACTGCTGATCCTATAACCCCACACCAAGACTCCTGTAAATAGAGGTGTGGAATTTAGAAGAGATTGGCATAAATCTATATATTTTTTAACATGGTGTAGAAATTTATGTTTAAGACATTTTAGCTTATTTTATTGTTAGCCCTAAGAAGCTCTGGTAGCGTTGTGGTTATGAGTTGGGCTGTTAACCTCAAGGTCAGCAGTTCGCACCTACTGGACATTCCACAGGAGAAAGATGAGGCCTTCTACTCCCATAAAGATTTGTAGCCTCGGAAACCCTATGCAGAGTCACTATAAATTGGAACCAACTTCACGGCACACTACCACCACCACCACCACCATTGTTATCCATAACATTTTTCCCGCAGCTTGAGGGAAAATTAATTTTAAGAAAGCATAGGTTTTGTTAGCTTAGATTTTCCACTATTTTGGAATTACAATATTTTCTTTAAATCATTTCATATTATTTTTATTTTAAAATTAAAGGAACATTTCCTAAATTTAACAGTTCAATTTTATTCCTGTTTTTCATCAGGTTTAGTAGGAAGCGATGTCAAATCCCTTCATTCCATCATCAATCCTCCCATAGCTAAGTAAGTGTTGTCATTGACATCTTTTTTCTATATACTATGTGAAAAGTTACAAGGTTTTTCTGTTTGTATGCTTACTTCAACATTATCAGAGGATACCGCAATTTTGGTGACTTTCTGCACTAGTTGTGAATGAATGTTGGTATGTGTCGTAAAGCTGTTTTCTTGCTAAGATTTTTCAGTGTGGCAACAATAGGCTTTTTATGTAAATAAATGTAAGATATTCTCAAGGCTATAGTTATCTCTTGTTGTATAGCTATTTTGCCAGAGTAAAGTAGTAGGGCATGCTCTGAGAATGTTTTGCATTTCCCTAGCTTTTACATCATTTTATGAATTATAGAAATACTAGTAAGTTTTTAAATTTGCACAGCACTGACATTTTGGTTTACAATTTTAGTAATGTCCAACTCATAATCCATGTTTTTGTCCTTTTAAACAGAATCCGTAATATTGGAATTATGGCTCATATCGATGCAGGCAAAACTACCACTACAGAAAGAATATTGTACTATTCTGGATACACAAGATCACTGGGAGGTTAGAGTGCATTTTTTCTCCTTAATCCCAATTAGTAAAAGCATCATCGGAAAATACTTTAATTAAGAAGTCAGACTAGACCTCTTGAGTATGACATTGTAGCATTGGTAACTAAACCCCAACATGAAAGCTAAGGTAGTTGCAACACTCACCAGTGGGCTTTCTTGACTTAACTAAACATTCAGACCACCATAGTCCACATTTGGCACTTGTCTACTGGGAAGAAAGGATGTATAACTGGAATGGTTTCTGATGAGTGGATTAGCATTAGGTGTTTCTTTTCTAAAGAGCTCTTAGAGCAGTCCACACAGTTACCTGGGAAGGGTCTTCTTTTCCCACTCTACTCCCCAAGAGTGATAGATTAGGCCCAAGTGTCCCAATTCACTTCAGGCAGATGCAGAAGCTACCCTGGATTAGAAGACTCATGCCCCAGAGGAACAGATAGTTCTTGTTAGAGCTCCAAAGGCATAGCTTCCAGGTTCCTCACAAGGGACAAACCATAACCCACTCAAGGAAGCCCAAGGCTTTGTGTCTCCATCTGTTAAATTGATTTATGTTGTTGTTTTAATGTGCCGTCGAGTCATTTCCAACTCATAACCACCCTTTTTGGGTTTTTGAGAAGCAGCTGGTGAGTTTGAACCGCAGACCTTGTGGTTCACAGTCCAGTACTAGTCCTACAGCACCACATCAGAAGTCCAATTGATTTATACTTCTTCCTCATTCAGATGTAATTAACCAGTCAGTGAGTAGTTGATGACGTACCTCTCTTCTTAAAATTCCAGGAGAAAAGAGCTGGAAATTTTGACCACAGATCAAATTTTTATGCAAAAGAGGAGAAATTGTTGTTAATCTTTAGCCTGCAGTAGTAGTGGTATTTACCTGTGTTTTTAATTCACTGTTAATTATAGTGTGCCCGTACTTCTGATTTTTGACCAGGCATGCACATTTGAATTCCCTATAAAGTATTAGTTTGTTTTGCTTCAAAATGATGATGCTCTATACCCATTTTGGAATTTAAGTTCATCTATATGTCTTTTTGCATCATGCTTTTTGAAACTCAGTTATTGGAGTCATGCATATTTATGATTGTTATCTCTTCCGGATGAATCAGCCCTTTAATAATTTTGCAGTGTCCCACTTTATCGCTGGTAAACAGTTTGTATTGAATTTGTATTGGAGGTCATTAGAGCCATAATTTGAAAATGAATATATGTAAGTTTCAAAAGCTCTACTGTGATTTTGATATTCACCCCAGTTAAGATGCATTACTCTTGACACTTGGCATTGACTAGCAGACGTAGTGTAATATTTATAGAGAAAAAGAATGCCCAGGATGGAAATCTTAATGATAAGCTCCCAGCTGTAGCAACACTTGAATTTCCATGTAAATGGGAATAATGACAGGTAGTAAAGTAGAGCATTGTTAGGCTTTCTGTGTTAGTTCACAAATCAGATCAGAATCCTGCCTTCATCTCCCTAGTTGTGTCATTGAAGTGGAGGTCTAGATGAAAAGGCCTAGCCAACCTTCAGGTTAACTGTTGAAATCCTCTTCTGCTTCATGCCTTAATAATTGAAACTCTCCAAATTGCGGCTGTTTTGTTGATCCACAGTTGTACTTTAGAAATTCTACCAAGACTCCATTTGCATTTATACAAATGAACCACTTTTTTTTTGGAAATTTAGAAAAGGATTTACACCCATGGTGGACAAGTGGGCAGGTTTCAGTTGAGCTTCCAGACTAAGACAGACTAGGAAAAAGTAGAGATGGACTACTTCCAAATGTTTAGCAACTAAAACCTTATGAATGGCAGTGAAACACTGTTAAGTAGCAGCAGAATATTGAATATTGAAGCTTATGAAGAGCACCAGAATATTGTCAGGTACAGTGCCAGAAGATGAGCCCTTCAAATTGGAAGGCACTCAAAGTGCAACTGGAAAAGAGCTGCCTCCTCAAAGTAGAGTTGACTGTGATGAT